AAAAAAAAGGGCCGGGGGTTTTTGGGGCTTTTTTTTTTTTTTTTTTTTCTTTGTTAACTCAGGGCTTTTCTCACTATTGGCTTATAGACTATTGGGTTGCTAAAAAACCTAACAACCAAATAAATTACTGATTACAAAGTGAATGTATACCAAAGATTGGTTATTATAGCTTTTTTTTTTTTTAAGAAGTTTTTAGGGCACTTAGATATGGAAATATTTGTGTATATGCTTTATGGCCCGAGATATATCATTAGTCAGACTTAACATGAAATAGTATCCTTTAGTTTTCTATACTCTGTTAATATGTAATTGATACAAGTGGATTATTACATTTTGAAAAAAATATTTAGAGCACTTTTGTATATTTTAAGTAGATCATATTGGGACTTATCTTTGAATCTTCTTGACTTGTGGCTTATCAGCCATATTACTATTATTAATTTTTTTTCATTTGTAAATTTAATGAGTATGTTTCAGAAATTTACTTTGAGATCTATTTTGAAGATTGAATGCCCAACACACTTAATTTAATGCATCTGAATTGCTTAATTGGCTGGCTTGCTAAACTGCTCTAAAGGATTAAAACATACTTAAACTTAAAATCTTGGCATTCAATAGTATTTTTTTAATATTAACATATGAATATTATTTATAAGAAAAAGTCAGCAGAATGTATGAATTGTTAACACTGTGAACAGATATCCTTTCTTTTATTAGGAGCCTCTTTCAGAATTCTTCAAGTCAGAAGAATGATATTTTTCATTTGGATATTAAAAATGTGAGCGGCATAGGGCAGATCCTGGACTTCATGTACACTTCTCATCTAGATCTTAACCAGGACAATATACAAGTAATGTTAGACACAGCACAATGTTTGCAAGTTCAAAATGTTTTGAACCTGTGTCACACGTTTTTAAAATCAACCTCTGTGGAACAGCCACCTGGCATGCCTTGTAGTAGTACCTTCTCCCTGCAAAGCACTCTGACCCCTGATGCTGCTTGTGTTATAAATGAAAACTACCCTTCTCATTTACTGCAAGAGTGTTCAGCAGATGTACATCAAAATCAAGTTTTGGATGAATCGCATTCTCATGCGCTACCATCAGTTCATCATCATTCCACAGGGGAAATATCAAAACAAGCCCCTGATACTTTAGATAGCAGCTGCACAGAACTGCCTTTCAAACAGCCAAATTACTATTACAAACTCAGAAACTTTTACAGTAAACAGTATTATAAACAAGCTGCTTGTCCCAGTCACAATCGAGTCATTGAGCAGCCTTTTACTTTCAGTACCTCCACGGACCTTGCTGCAGTAGAAAACCAGCCATGTGCTGTCAGTCATTCCGAATGTATCCTGGAGTCTCCGGAACACTTGCCTTCCAACTTCCTTGCCCAGCCTTTGAGTGACTCTGCCCCAGACCCTGAAACAGACACCACATGTCAACAACCTACCAAGCAGATGAGGCTCAAAAAGGCCATTCACCTGAAAAAACTAAATTTTCTGAAGTCACAGCAATCAGCAGAGCAAACATCTGAAACCAAGTCAGATGATGGTTTAACAAAGAGGATGGAATCTGCTAGTGAAAATACTGTAAAGAAAGCTAGCAGCCAAAGTACTGAAGAAAAAGAAAGTGAAGAACTCGTCAATTCCGAGAATTTTAATTGCACTGGTGAAATGGAGAGACCAGATGACTCTGCCACACTGGAAGACCAGTCCCAGACCCTCCAGCCACAGAGACAATATGCATGTGAATTGTGTGGGAAACCTTTTAAACACCCAAGCAATTTGGAGCTTCACAAACGGTCTCATACAGGTACACTGCTTCAGTACCCGCAGGCAAGAGGGAAGGAAGGAATGCAGATGTTCAAACACAACTGCCTGTTCTTGTTTTTGTAAGAAGTTTTACTATTGCTTGATGAAGTCATTGATGTTTTTAAACAAAAATCAAGGGGCATTAGCTACTTTTTAATTTATATTTTTGATGATACATCTTAAAATTCTCTAAATGGTTTTATAGAGCCACTTTAAAAAGATGGCATGTTTTAATTTTTATTTCAGTTATGTTTTTCTGTGATAAATTGCTCATCTCTAAAAGTACAGTAAGTTATTGCAATACACTCAAAATTTCAAATTATTCTAAACCATAAGCTGTATTTAGTTCTCTTTAGAATTAGAAGAAGCTTATTTTTCGAAAGCATAATGTACGTTAATTCAGACTAAGGTAATTTAGTTTGAGTAATTCTAAAAGTTCTCTCAGAAGTAATTGAATATCATTTAAAAAATTGTGATTTGGGAGGCAAGAGAAAAACTTTTTAATAAGAATCAAACTTTAACCATTTGATATTTTCAAATGAAAGTTCTTCCATTTTAAACATTGAATTTTTAAAGTTTTATGATCTCAATTCATACCTCCTCCTCTTTCTCGAAAGCTTAAGGTATTACACAGTACATATACATTACATTATACAATACATATATATTACTTTCCTTCCTAAAATTAAGCATGGTGACTTTAATAACACATTATAAATTAATGACAATTATCTTAAATGTGAGAAGTAATATGTGACAGAATGCTCCCAAAATAGCTGCTTTCAGGTGTTTGTGTAATTGCATTTATTGATGTGATGTTTTGTTATCACTTCAGATTTCTAGTTTGCTTAGGTGTTTACTACCTCATTGTATTGTTGAGAGACTTCATTACTATCTGTGGAAGCCCTTTATAAATTTTCACGCATTTGAATATAAAGTACTATCATAGTTAGTAATAGTAGTTCAGAATTACTCCATATGAAGGCAGTATCGCAGACTCGTTTTTGCCTTAAATAAACTTATTTTAGATCATTCTGTTTGCTTACATTTTATACAGTGTAATGACCACTGTGATTTTTTTTATTTAAGAAACTTACCTATTTAACTTTAAGGGAAAAAAAATTAAACTATTTATTCTGAGAGGACATCTTTGAATGACAGATAACAGTCATATGGCAGAGATGCTTACTGGGACATAAATATTCTATTGAGAAGGACAGCAGTTCTCAAAGTATCTGAATAAAACACAGGTCTGTGAGGTCAAAATTATTTTCAAAATAGTATAAAAATGTGACTTGCCTTTTCCTTCTCTCACGAGCGTACAGTGGAGTCTGCCAGAGGTTACATGCTGTGTGATGATGTCATTACCCTGGTGGCCAGTGAAATGTGTTTTAAAAACAAATCAGTTTTCGTTTCTAATATGGTATATATCAACAGATACAGATCTCATAAACAAAGGCTCTTCAGGGCTTCAGTTTTAAGAGTGTGCAGGGGTCCTGAGACCAAAAAGTCTGAGACCCACTGGAGTAGTGTTATTAACCTTGGTCACTTAGGAATCTTAGTAACTGGTGACCTCTTTCTTTTTTTAAAACTAATATATCTTATGGGGGCTTTAACTTATCTTTATTATCCCAACAATTTTAGACATCAAGACAGTCCCCAAATACAAAATTAATATGATTATAGTTATTCAGGGTTGAGGGGGCCATTAGACATTTCCAGAAAAAATAAAAGTATCTTAGCATGAGCCCAGAAAGCTAGCAAACTGGTTTCTTCAAGGTAGCAAGCCCCAGCAATACAACAGGAAGGGGAAACGTTATTTTTTAAAGAGGATCTTAATGGAACCATTTGATTTGAGGGGAATGGGGGAAAATGGAAGGTCCTTGATGTTCAAAGGCTATTAGGGTTATATAGATTGAAGGCAATATCTTCAAGTATACTTTCAGACAGATCATTTTCTGCAGACTACATTCAGAACAGCTGTGCTTTCTTTGTAGCTGCATACCATTCTCTACAATCTCTATACCAAAATGCAATTAGTTACTGAAATCAGGTGAATAAGAAGTCAGCGGAAGAGCACATCTCCTGTGATGAAATCTTTTTCTCCTGTGAGCATGTTTAAACCAAGGCTGGAAGGCAGTAGAGAGGGGCTTTTTCCCTGTCACTTGTGTTTCAGGAGACCCCACTCTGATTTGGGCTCTCCAGTGTTCCTGCCTTTGAATGAGTTACGCTATCTCTGTTAGAAGTGAGTGGTAAAGTAGAGTCAGGCTAAACAAGGTAAAGTAGAGACAGGCAAACAAGTTTTACACTGTTCAGCAAGAAAACTCAACATTTGATTTTCAACTGAAGGAAAGGACTATGTTCCTAAACCTGGGTATGCTTTGAATGCAAATAAATACATTTGATTCAACATAGGTTTGTATTTGGAAAATATAGATTTTTTTTTAGAGGAAAATAAACATAGATTTCATTTTTATCATTTCTGCATAGCATCTAAAGGGCAAGAGATAAGTATAAGGAAATAGAGACTCCCCATTTTCATACTGTTAGAATAAAGAATGTAATGCTTTGGTTTGAAAAGAAGGATATAGGAGATGGTTTAAACATTTTAAACAAAAAATTATTGTGCAAATATTAGTAATGATTTTACAAGTTGTTTTTTTTGTTTTGTTTTAGGTGAGAAACCTTTTGAATGTAACATTTGTGGGAAACATTTCTCTCAGGTGGGAATACTCTTATTTACTATTAATAATTGGAAACCTGAAACCCAGTGTTTATTTTTAATACAAATAAGACGTACTTTTGTACTTGTGAGAGAAGCTTCTGTTGGTATTTGTAACTTAAAGGCTTCATACTATATCAAAAGAAAATAATTTTCAAGAAAACAAATTTCTAGTTTATTGGGTAAAAAAAAAAAAGCAATTTTTATGTGTGAGAATTTTCACAATACCTTTATTTTTCCCCATTAGGGGGTGGGTCTACTCCTAGTATATGTCTTCTCTTTTGTGAATGAAGTTGAGCCTGGTTTACCTTGAGGCTACAGATTATGCTGTGTTTGGCCCAGGACAAATAGTCTTTATATTCTTATTGGGACTGCAGATTTTAGGATGTTGGGGAAAATACCAAACAATTTTTATTTCCTGCTTTTTCTGCTACCTTTGGCTGAGTTCTATTAAGATCATTTGGACATGTATTAATTCTCTCATTCAGCAAACATCTGTTGTACCCTGCTGTGGGCCAGGAACTGTGCTAGGCACTGCACACAAAGAAACCTAAAGATGCGACATTTTACAGAAAATGTTGCATGTAGGGGCCGCCCGTGGCTCACTTGGGAGAGTGTGGTGCTGATAACACCAAGGCCGTGGGTTCATATCCCTATATAGGAATGGCCGGTTAGCTCACTTGGGAGAGCGTGGTGCTGACAATACCAAGTCAAGGGTTAAGATCATGGCCGGTTAGCTCACTTGGGAGAGCGTGGTGCTGACAATACCAAGTCAAGGGTTAAGATCATGGCCGGTTAGCTCACTTGGGAGAGCGTGGTGCTGACAATACCAAGTCAAGGGTTAAGATCCTCTTACCGGTCATCTTTTTAAAAAAAAATGTAATCAGATGACTTGTGGGAACCCACTTTTCTCCCTGGAAGAGAAGGGAACTTTATTCATCACTGTGTGCAGGGCGCTGGGCTTCCAGAGGTAAATAAGATGGAAGCTGCCCCAAGAGCATGAGAGCACAGTTCTGCAGAGGACAGTCACTGGCATGACTGTCCATACACAATGTGATAGGTCCTCTATTAGCAGTGTGTTCACGTACTGTTCACTGGGAAAAATGACTCTGGGCTGGGCCTTCATCCAGGAGAGGGGATCATTATTCTGGTAGGAGTTGGGAAGGCAGGCCATCCAGAGTATGGAAACAGAAGCACAGTCTTTTCACACATTCCCCATCCTCCACCCCCATCCCCAGCCAGATCTTCATTGAGGGCGTCAGTTCCATTGCCCCATGCACCCAAACCTGCCTTCGTAATTACCCTCATTCCTACTCTTTGACTCCGTGTACCAGGATGCACCAAGTCCTAACATTCTTCCTTCGCATCATTGGTCATGTCCTCCCCGGATAATTAGTTTCTCTGGGTCAGGGCCTGTGTCTTATTTCTCATCCAGGAGAATGCCTGGCACCCAGTAAGTGTCCAGTAAGTGCTCGAGCTGAGCAAAGTACTCATCCCTCCAGCCACCATGCTAGTGAGGCCCCAGCTTCTTCCTGCCAGCCTGGCCTGCGGGAGCACATCCAGCCAGGATTTGGGCTCTGCCTCTGCCAGGACTTACTACTGCGTGACCGTGAGCAAGCTAGCCAACCTTTTGGCACTTGAGTTTCCTTATCTGTAAAACAAGGATAATAAGATTACTGACCCCAGCAGTGTGCAAGGAGTAAATGAGTTAGTAAGATTAAGTACTTGAATGGTGTCTGACACACAGAAGGTACTCGGGAAACACTGTTATTCCCTGTCCTGTTGCCGTCACCTTCCTCCTGCCTCTCCAGTCCTCACTACTCCTGTGTGTCAGTCTTCCTGGGGTATCTCCTCTGCCCGCCATGGTTTTCATCTCAGCAGCTTTGGTATAGTGGGAAGAGTGTAAGACCTGGATTAATGTCCATTGATAATTAGCAATCACAACTTCTCTGGGCCTCAATTTTCTAATTCTTAAAGTAGGGATACTATTATTTCATGGGACTGTTAGGAAGATTAAGTGACAAAATCGGTGTGAGAGCCCTTTATATATTTAAATTGTGATAACTATAAGTTCTGTTTTTCTAGTGCTCAGAACCCTTCCATGCCTCTTTGTTGCTAACCAGATAAAGTAAAAGCAGGCATTCCAGCATCCTTGCTGTCTGCCTCCACCCTTTTCCCTTGGCATTGATGCCTGGGGCCCACCCTCAGAGATTCTGATTCCGTGGTTTGTGGTGGGATTCAAGTATTGGTATTTTTTAAGTACAGCAATTTTGATGAGCCGCCCAGGTCGAGAACCACTGCTTTAGACCTTGACCCGTGTTTACCCTCTTACATCTTACCAAGGGTAGCCCTGTCTGATACAGAAGTCCTCCTCTTTTCTTCTGTGTTGGTGTCTGTATTTTTAGGTTTTTACGAATGTAGAGTTAAATATAGTTATAGTTTTCAGATGTATATTGCTGTTTTATTTTCATAGTGAAATAATGAAATTTTGTGGACAAGGACTGTTTTAAATACTTCATCCAACAAGTGTTTGTTGCAAGCTGCAGTGTCAATGTGCTGTCCATGAGCTCCGCCATGTGCTGGGAGGGGGGACAAAAATGAAGAAGGCCTCAAGGAGCTCACTGTTTAGAGGAAGAAATAGATACGTAAACGATCAGGTACAGTGAAACGTTGGAAGTGCTGTGGCTGAACATGTGCAGGAAGAGTATGGGCAAAGAAAAGAGAGTGGTCCGTTCTACCTGGAAGACGTCATGTTGGGGCGGGGCTAGGGCATGGAGTGCTTGTGAGGTTAGAGTTACTTGGTGAGCCTGGAAGTCTTTGGCATTCTAGGGCAAGAGAGCAGTCATGTTTGCTCAGGTATACCTAGTAACACCATATAACCCATCCTTCACCTGAAGCCGTTCATTTCTTATAATGAGCTGGAATAAATTTGGGGGGTTAAAATGGATTGGGACGCTCCCACCATAGTTTGCCAGTGTTTGCTTTGGTAGACATGAGTTCCTAAAGATCTTTCCTTCTGGAGGATTCGAAAGTTAAAAATCATTTATCAGTAACAATCTCCCATCCTGTTTACTGAGAATTCAGTGTTTAGTAGGGTAGTCTTTTTTTTAAAAAGTTAACCACAACCATAATAATGAGTGAGCAAGCAGTATGGTATACCAGTTTCAAAAAGCTAGTATCATCTTAGATTACTACAACAGAATATGCATCTATTAATTCCAGACACTGTGTATCTCTCGATCTCAGGAAAAAAGAGTCTTGCCATACTTTAGAGTGTAACTGTGAGTCCCACTTGGAGTGCCGTGTTTCCTATGGAGCACAGAACATGGACCATTTGGAGAGCATCCAGAGAAACCAAGATAAAGGCAGGTCCAGAGAGCCTGTCACGTGAGAAACAGGAGGAAGAAAACTTGGCTATTTTTTGAGAGAGGAATAGAATTGTCCCTCCAAGGAGACAGAACTAGAACACTGGGCAGCCAGTACAGAAAGGTGGGTTTTGAGAGGCAGCATTCTCTCAGCAGCGCTGTCTAGAAGGGTTGGACCCCACATCCCCAGGTGCCAGTGACACGTTCTGTAGGAGGCAGCTCAGACGCAGAGTTCCAAGAGTGCTGGTGTGGACTGGTGCCAGAAGTGATGGTTTCACCTGTCCATGGTGAAAATGCAAAAATAAGGACATTTTAATGAGCTTTTCTTAAGTTATTAAATTTTCAGTTCCTAGGTGATATTTCTCATACTTATGTCATCTTATCAATATGATGATTATTGTTTAGGTGACATCTCTATATTAATCCTTAGATTATTTTCTTTTTAATATTACTACTTTGTGAAATCCTGAAGTCTTGAAAGCCCTGAACTAGATAACTTTTTTTTATTTTACTTTTTTGTGTGTGCAGTTGGTCGGATGGGGATCCGAACCCTTGACCTTAGTGTTGTAACACTGAGCTCTAACCAACTGAGCTAACCGGCCGGCCTGGATGACTTTTAAAATCTGAGATTTCTTTTATCTGTGAAGTTTTATGATTCCCTGGCTTTTTTTATATAAACATTCAACTGCTATTAAAAGAGAGTTCATGTTAGGGAATAGATGTTGGGTTTATTCATGTTCAAGTACATATCAAGAGTTAATTATAAAAATTATTCAACTCAGATATTAATTCTTTACTACAGCAGAGTTTTTCTATTAAAAATTCTAACAAGTCCATCTTTTTAATTTAAAATGGTATTTACTTAGAATTGAAATTCTTTTACTGCTAATATCTTTACCATAGGATTAACAGTACAAGCTTTGTACTCAGCAGACAAACCTGAATCAGTGTATTTGATCCCAATTTTATGACCTGAGGCCAGTTACTTACCTCTCAGAACCTCTGTTGACTATTCTGTAAAATGTGATACTACTACTTTATATGACATTATGATGACTAAGTTAGATACTATTTGCAACCACTTAGCAAAGTGATTCACAGTAAGCTCTTAATGAATGATAGCTATTATCATTATTACCACTTGCTAGAGTTTTTATGGATACAACTATAGATGATTTCTCTGACACAATCTGTGCACATAAGATATACTTAGTACTAGAGTAAATCAAAAGTTTATCAAAAATAACACTAAAGCTCAGTCTGGGCCTGAGTTTGCTGTGTAATTTGGTATAACTTATCTGAATGTAGTAATCAACTTTTATACTATTTATCAGACCAATAGTGTGCTCCTTTATCTGGGGGAAAAATAATTATTTTCATTATATATTTTCAGTATGAAATAGGTAAAGACACATTATAAAGTTTTTTTTTTTTTTTACTGCTTATTACAATATTGAGTGGAAGACCATTTGATTATATTTGCTTTGAAAACAAGTAATTTGTTATACCTTTTCTAAAAAGAAAAAAATTCAGCACGGCTAAGAATTGACTCATAACACATAGTTTACAAAATAAGAGGGGTCTGACTTAGTCAAGCAGATGGTGCTGTTCAGATTATTATGTCTGAAATTTGAAAGTGACTGATTTAAAATGTTTAGTGGTACATTACCTTAACTCTCCAGTGAGCTATTTCTGAGTGACAAAGTAATTCTCTGTCACACTGAATATTCAAAACATGCTAGTTTATTCACAGAAACTTGCATGTCCTCAGGTTTTCCCCACAAGTAGAGAAGAGTTTAAACTCACACAAACCATTATTAGTTTCTGGACAAACTGTAACTGGAGCGGCTACTTTATTATCTGAGTCTCAGTTTTTCATCTAGAAAATAGAACAATACCAACTACCAATGGCGATGTGATAGAATGCATGTAGAGGCCTAATTAAAATCACAGCAAATGTATGTTGCTGTTGATATTTGCTATTGTTACTGTTAGTCATTCTACCAAAAGGTGAATATTTCCCAAAGTTTTGCCAAATTCTTTCCCTTTGGTTATTGAAAATAAACCTTAGTTTTTTCTAAACTATATTTAATATATTCTCAAATGTAGCAGTCTGATAGATGTCATGAATCTTCCATGTTATATGATCCAAAGACAATTTTTATACTTGTGAGTTTCCACTCACAGGTAGACATCAGACTCATCTTTAAACCTATAACCATGAACTATCTTTGCATTTCATTTAAAATATAGTTTGCAAATTTAAAAAGCCAAGTTTGTTAATTGGATATTGTTCATTCTGGTTTTTGGCTTATCTCATGCATAACGGCTGTACATTAGTACTCATCGGTGGTGTGTTTTGCAACAGAACACTATAAAAAATTAAATGGAGGAAATGACAGGTTGAGACTATTAATTTAAATTACAGCAATGGAAGATTTCTTTTCCAAATCCTGATTTGAAACATTAGCAAGTAGCTTTTTTTGTTAATATCTGAGGCATTTGCAGTTTTATTTCACTGTACTTTAGGTAATTTACTATTGATTAGTGCATGGAAATCTATTCGATGATCTCTATTTCAGTATTTCTTGGTAAAGCCCTGCTAGTTTCAGAAATTAGAAACACAAAAGGCCATGCAACTGAATGCTGTGATTATCTGATTTGCATTTTTGCAGAGAGGTAAAAATGACAAACCTGTCAGGCAGAACCAACTGTACTGCCAGAAGAAATACTCTTGGAAATATCTTCTTTCTTTATGAACAAAAACATGTTTTTAAGAAAGAAACAGTGAATACTGAAACAAGCATGTACGAGTGCTTTATTTAAAATTTTTTCAAATGATGATGCATATAAATGGTCCAAATAAAATACATCAGGTTTATTTAAAATATAGGCTTAGTGACCACTATATCAGTCTCTGCAGGGTGCCGGCCCACTTTAGGAGGAAGCACCACAAAGTGTATGTCTGGGCTGGGACATGGCCAAGCGGCCAGGGCCCACATGGAGGACGTGGTTGAGCTGCATTCCTGCACAGCAGATTGCTGGACAGAGTTAGAATGTGGCTGTCTTTGATCTCCTTGCACATGGCTTCTTTTGAGTTGTGTGTATCTCGTCTTTGGAAGTTGGGTTGGAACCTGGCTACATCTGTCAGTTTTTCTTTCGAATTTACATAACTTAAAAAAACCTTGCATTACGGGCCAGCCCAGTGGCGCACTGGAGAGTGTGCCGCTTGGGAGCGTGGCGGCGCTCCCGCCGAGGGTTCAGATCCCATGTGGAGACCGGTTCCCGCTCACTGGCGCGGTGCGGGCGCAACACCGAGGGTTGCAATCCCGTTACCGGTCAGTAAAAAAGACAAAAAGAAAAAAAAAAAAAACCTTGCATTATTGGTGTGTTTTTCTTTTCCTCTTTTTGCAGGCAGGTAACTTGCAGACTCACTTACGTCGGCATTCTGGTGAAAAACCATACATCTGCGAAATCTGTGGAAAGAGGTCAGTGCTTGGCTCATTCTCTCACATGTAAGGGGTCACAGTGGTCTGAGTATCTTTGCCAGTGTTCTCTGCAGCTGAGCTCGCAGGTGAGCCACATAGGGGTTGTTTTTACTACTATGGAGCACAGGTAAATTCAAGCCATCTGGCTTTGCATGTGAACACAGGAGAACAAGAAAAAGGAAAGTTAATTAAAAGAAAGAAAATCTAGGGCAGGAGTCTTAGAAAGGAAATGGGATTTTACATGAAACAAAATTATTTTATACTGAAATGTTCATTCATTCCAAAAATGTCTCTGAAAATGGATTAATGCCCCCACGGGGGTGACTGTATAGTAGAGGAAATGGGACTTGCAGCCCAAGTGACTAGACTGCAGGAGAGAAGGAGGTGGAAAGTGCCACAGGCTGTGGATCCATCACGGGCTGTATGAGTTCAGCCATAGGAAGGGTGGGTCTCAGCCTTGGGGGATAGGGTCTTGCCTTGGTGACAGAGAATCTGATTCTTGAGGTGGAATGAGATATGTGGCAGTTCAGTTCCCCTACGCAGTGTGGTAGGAATGAGGTGCTCATCCCCCCCTGTGTGCGCAGGTCGGCACCCTCATCCCCCCTCCCCATCACGTGGGCTGTGTGTCAGGGCTCAATGTACTCTGTCACCTGATGGCTGTGCTAGAGCCACAGGCCTCGACCAGGACTGTGCCAGGCACAAAGCTTCATGTGCTCCCTGCATACATAGCGTTTAGATCCAGTCATCTGTTTTCTCATTCGTTCCATCAGCACTCATTAGACACCTAATGCTAAGTGCTGTGATGGGAACGTGAAAATAACAGTACAGACTCTGCCTCTGACAAGTTCATACTGAATAGTCTTAGAGAGGAGACTGTTTTAGTCCGTTTTTTCTCGCTATAACAGAATACTTGAGACTGGGTAATTTATAAGGAAGAGAGGTTTATTTGGCTCATGATTCTGGGACAGCTGCATCTGGCATGGGCCTCAGGCTGCTTCTACTCATGGCAGGAAAGCAGCAGGCAGCCGGCGGGTACAAGCAGATCACATGGCGAGAGGAAGCGAGAGAGAGAGAAATGGTGCCAGGGTCTTTTTAAGCAACGAGCTCTCGTCAGAACTAATAGAGCGAGAACTCACTCATTAATCCCCTCTCCCCCACGGAGAGCATTAATCCATTCATGAGGGATCCGCCCCCATGACTCAATCAGTTTCCAACACTGCCACATTGGAGATCAAATTTCCACATGAGTTTTGGAGGGGACAATACATCCAAACTCCATCAGAGACGGACATGGGGACAGTTAGAAGTCAGAGTCCTGTCATACAGTCTACAGCTCATGCTGTGGGACAGTGAAGAAGGAAACAGCTCTTGGTTCAGTTTCAGGAAGACAAGTTGTCTCTGCCGACAGCAGAAAACAAGCTGCAGAGTCTGTGCGCTCCCTTTCTGCTGCACTACCTGAGCATTGGGAGCTTGGTGCCCAGGTGCTCATTTCAGATGCCCAGTACCACACATCTCCTGCTGCTTCAGGTGGTGTCACTTCACTGTTGGCCCCTGCATGTCTTGATTTGCACAGTGTTTTGAATCTGAACCCTCTGAATTTAATTTAGGGCATGCTTTTAAAGTTTGGTCTGTGTACAGCATCTTCCCCAGAACATGACATACTGTTCTACTGTCCAGTGTGGTGGAAAGGAAAGAACAGCATAGATTTCCACCTCTGAGGGCCCGGGTTGGGATTTCTACTGAAGTCAAATTAGTGTGAACTCAGTTTTGCCATCTGGAAAGGGGGGATGAAAATGCCTGGCTGGCGGTGTTGGGCGATGGGTAAGTGAGATGACGTTTGTTAAACATCTGGCACATCACCTGGCATGCAGCAGCTTCTGCATGACACCAGTTCCCTCTCTTCATTTATTTCCTTTGTTTCTCAATGTTAGGACTCGAGTGAGTCTCTTTTATGACTCAAATAAAAAGGAGAGGGAACTCATCCTCTAGGGATATTCATGGAGGAGGAGGGCAAGGATTTTCTCAAAAACCTTTATGGCCACACATCTTGGTTCCTGAAATTCTGCAGCTCCTCTTTGCCCTTCTCCTTGTAGTGGAAAGCACCAGGGTTGCCCCTGCCAAGACCAGGGCGGAATCACCCTGGGCTACCTTAAGGGTCATCCTCCTTGAGCTGGCACCACCACACTGGGGTGCTCTCTCTCCAGCCCCCAGCCACCCTGGCAGGACTGCAGGGTGGAAGGGGCCTGACTTTGCACCTGAGGTAATGATGCTGAACCATGTAGCGTATGGTCTCATACTGAGGAAGAAAGTTTCATGAAACCAGGCAGAAAAAAATGTTTTAAAAACAAGACACTTGGGGGGCCGGCCCGGTGGCGCACTGCTACAGTGCGCCGCTTGGGAGCGTGGCGACGCTCCCGCCGAGGGTTCGGATCCCACATACAGACCGGCCACTCACTGGCTGAGCGAGATGCGGGTGCAACACCGAGGGTTGCGATCCCGTTGCTGGTCCCGGTCCGGTATGGGCGCGACACTGAGGGTTGCGATCCGTTGCCAGTCATGAAAAAAGACAAAAAGAAAAAAAAAAAAAAACAAGACACTTGGATCATTTTCTATTTTTCTTAAAAAGAGAGAGAAGGAAAGATTATTTAAAGCACATTTCAAATGCAATCAGGCCACTCCTGATTCTGTTCAGAAGCAATGGGGAATAGGTCGTCACCTCCCTCAGTGACTTGCAGTGAAAAAGACTCATGGTCGTGTAGAAAGGCTCCTAATTGAATTTTCAAATTACATTACAGGTTTGCAGCCTCTGGCGATGTCCAGCGTCACATTATTATTCACTCAGGAGAGAAACCACACTTGTGTGACATCTGTGGTCGAGGTACAGCTGAGTATTTTGCTTTTTTTTCTTAAAGATTGCTGATTAGTGTTCTGCGTTCTTCAGCTGAACTCCTGTTATGGTCTCTCTAGGGTTTAGTAACTTCAGTAATTTGAAGGAGCACAAAAAGACGCACACGGCTGATAAAGTCTTCACCTGTGATGAATGTGGAAAGTCTTTTAATATGCAAAGGAAGTTAGTGAAGCACAGGATTCGGCATACGGGTGAGCGGCCCTACAGCTGCTCCGCCTGTGGTAAGTTTCTGACTGTCACCAGACCAGGGGTGTGGAAGGGCTTTGTCCCAGCTCCATCATTAGCTGATTTAGTGTCTGGGATAAGCCATTTGTCTTCTCATATGGAGAATGGAAGTAATGCTATTTCCTTACCACTTCATGTGGTCTCCTTTCATTCATGTGTCAGATGTTCACTGCCTGCCCTTAAGGTATCAGGAGCTGTGCTGGCTGCTCCAGACACAGAGATGACTAGGACAGACAGAGTCCGCAGTCCCAGATGGGAAGGGTGTGGGCAGCTGCAGAAGGGCGCATGGGGGCTGCAGGCTGGCATATCCCGCTGGAGCATCAGGAGTACCTGTGGGGTCAAGAGGGCAGGCTTCTCAGAAGAGGATTTATAGAGTAAGGCTCATTTTTGGGGCACTTGATGCTTCAGGATGAGCGTCAATGGAGTCATCAAGGAAGGAAAGAGGGAAGCCAGCAGCCCTCAGTTTCAGGGGACTTGGCTGCACAGACCAGGACACACACACTCAGAGTCAGGCAGCCTGTCACCCATGATCACAGCGTTGGAGTCAGGACCTGTTATACACTTGGGCCTCTAGAGAGGGCATATGTGTGCTCAGTGTATGCCCGTGACAGGTGCTTGACAATGCTGGTAGAATCATGGTGAATAAATGAGTGACAAGGGTTTTTGTGAGTATCTGTTCAGAACAAGTGGGAAAGTGCACAAGTCTAGCTGTGGGAGCCTGGAGTTAGGGCGCCTTCCGAGTGGCACATTCTAACTGCGATGGGTATCTTAAGTAGCGCAGGACTTCTGGGATGTAACCAGAAGTCAACTTTGTTTCTGTCTTTCCATTTAAATTGTATGCAGACTTCCTAGGTACAAATTTAGGCAACACCATGCCCATTCTAATCTCTCTTAGAAAGTAAAATGTCATCATTTTAAATCAACAGTGCAATCTCAAATCACTAATTTAAAAAGTTAGTTCCAAATTATTATCACAACTGTGAACTTGATTTAAAGTTAAATTTTCTCTTCACTCCCCAGCTAGGACCTGCTGCTGCTCAAACCCCTGTAGTGGGGGAAGCAAGTGGGACCTTCCTCTCTCTCTCTCTCTCTCCACGACCCCCACCCCCCTACCCCCACCCCCACTAGCATGGTTTTTGACCTTGACAGTGTCAGCTTTGGGGGAACGGAGAAGAGATAAAGTGACGGGAATGTTCTTATGTGACAGGTTCAATTTTTTCATAGGTTTGAAATAATATTCCCATACTATAAAATTTACCCATTTAAAGTAAATAATTCTATAACACCAAGGTCAAGTGTTCGGATCCCCATACCAACCAGCGCTCAAAACAAAAAAAAGAAACAAACAAAAATAATAAATAAATAAACCATTGCATACTAATGGTTTTTGGTATGCAGTTGACCCTTGAACAAAGCGAGTGTGAGGGGTGCTAACCCCTGTGTAGTTGAAAGTCCAAGTATAACTTTCCCCTGGGTTGCAGCCTTGCAGCAGTGGCCCCCCCCCCCCCCAAACCCCCCAACTGACATACCTAACCAAAAATGTTCTAACATATTTATTGGAAAAAATCTGCCTATAAGTGGACCTGCACAATTCAGATCTGTGTTGTTCAAGGGTGTGCAGTATTCATAAAGTTGTGGAACTTGTACCACAATCAATTTTAGAACATCCTCATCACAGCAGAAAGAAACTCCATACCGATTAGCAGTCACTCCCCATTCCCTTCCCCACCCCTGGCAACCACTAATCTACTTTCTGTCTGTATGGATTTGCCTCTTCTGGACATTTCATAGGAATGGAATCATACAGGTTTGGGTCTTTTGTAACTGACTTCTTTCACTTAGCACTTCTGCTGTGAACATTTGTGTACAAGTTTTTGCACAGATGTGTGTTTTCAGTTTTTTGGAGACATTCAATTTTAAGGTAGTATATCAGTCCATTTTGTGTTGCTATAACAGAAATACTTGAGACTAGGTAATTTATAAAGAACAGAGGTTTATTTGGCTTACTATTCTGGGACAGCTGCATCTGGCATGGGCCTCAGGCTGCTTCTACTCATGGCGGAAAGTCACAGGCAGCCAGCGAGTACAAGCAGATCACCTGGTGAGAGGAAGCAAGAGAGAGAGAGAGAGGAGGTGCTAGGGTCCTATAAACAACCAGCTCTCTCGGGAACTAATAGAGCGAGAACTCACTCATTACTCCCCCCCACCTAGGGAGAGCACTAATCCATTCATGAGGGATCTGCCCCCATGACTCAATCAGTTTCCAGCACTGCCACATTGGGGATCAAATTTCCACATGAGTTTTGGAGGGGACAACACATCCAAACTCCATCAGGTAGCTTCACACACAGCGCTTTTCAGTCTTTAAAGCTGCTCCCTCTTGAGTGTTTCATGGTTCTTCTAAAGACAACCCTCCCTTCTCTTCCCCCAGCATTTAACTGCACTTTCCAAGATGCAGGCGTGCACTGTCCTCCAGCCAGCCTCTTCCTCGAACCCCAGGTTTTATAACGGTTTACTCCAGGGAGACCTTGACTGTAGGAGTCTAGTCACCCCTCTAGGCAGTCCTCTTAGGCTGGCTCACAGCAGCTCCAGTGTGACCCTTGTCTACCTGGTGGTGATATACACATTCTCTGCTGGGGGCATGCAGGCCCACAGCATGCAGTGCCAACCCTCCTCTCTGCCACCAGCACTGCTGGCCAGCTGCCTCCCACCAGATGTACCACACAGGAGGTAGGCGCCACTCCACTGTGCCCTCCCCATGGCAGGGACAAAAGAAGGGGTATGCTTTCTCATGGGAACTCTCCCATGGCTAAAATTTATACATATTAAAGTCCCTAAAAGTGGTCATCCTGCTTTGCCCGTAATTCTACTGTTGAGAATCTATCTTGAAAAACAATGAAACGAAAGATAAAATCTTTATGCCAGAGATGGTAATTGAGCTACATTAAACACGTATAGTAGCAAACAGTTGGAAGCAGCCAGCATGCACAGCAGTAACAGAACAGTTATGAAGCTTCTAATCCATAAAATACCACATAGCTGAATAAAGTGTACGTTATGAAGACAACACAGCAAACTGTGAAATGCTTGTGCTGCTTTTACTATAGTGTTCCCGAAAAAGACTGAGCCTAACATTGTGGGGGAAACAGAAGTGAAGACACAGAGGCAAAGAGTTACTATTGTGTGTTGTTTCAGTGTTTTTGTTTGTTTTTTGATGGCTTGCTGGCAGATAAGGAGATCTGAACCCTTGACCTTGGTGTTATCAGCACCGTGCTCTTACTAACTGAGCTGACCGGCCAGCCCCTCCAGAGATCTCTATATAGAAAGAAGACCCCAAGTATAGTGCCGGGATGCTCACATCTACTTTGATTGTTCAGAAGCTTTTTTTTTTTAAATAACTCATCTGTTGCTTGAATAAGACTAGATAGCTGAGAATTCAAATATAGCGACATATAAATAAGTGAGAAGTTCTAAATATATATCCATATGAACTGTGCAGTTTATTCTCAGGTTGTCCTTTGTAAATATATTATGGTCTTCATAAGGCTATTTACTGAGTTTTTACTTCTCATCTTCTGGCCTATTCTAATTATGGAACCAGATCCCATACCTTTATCATATACTACACAGAAAAAGGAAATAGAACCTGGAAAAGTATGCATAAAATTTTTTTGAGGGGCTGGCTGGTTAGCTCACTTGGTTAGAGCATGGTGTGCTGATAACATCAAGGTCAAGAGTTCCAATCCCAGTACCAGCCAGCTTGAAAGAAAAAAAAAATTTTTTGTTAAAAGCTGAATATATACCTTCAGAAAGATGTTTCTAGATTATAGATGGGCTGTGTTAGGTTTATGAACAGTTGAATGAGGCTGACAAAGAGAAGACCTGTGGTTTCCCCACACAGGCCAGCAGGAGCAGGCCCCTGGCTTACCCAATGTGGTGCCCTGTTCAGGAGCACATAGTGAGAGTCCCTTGAAGACTTGCACTGAGAGACTCAAAACCCAAACCATGAGCTCTTTCAAAATCAGAACCATTCAGTGTCTTAGGAGGAAGAGGGGGGAATCCTTCCAGAACGGCCACTTCTAAGAATATCCTTCTTTCTTTTTCTAGGGAAATGTTTTGGGGGATCAGGTGACCTCCGCAGACACGTCCGCACTCACACTGGGGAAAAGCCATACACGTGTGAGATCTGTAGCAAGTGCTTCACCCGCTCTGCTGTGCTCCGGCGGCACAAAAAGATGCACTGTAAAGCTGATGACGATGGCCCGGACATGCTGGAGGAGCTCGGCCAAGCCATCGAGACCTCTGATCTTGAGAAATCTCAGAGCTCAGATTCCTTCTCCCAGGACATGTCTGTGACGTTGATGCCAGTGTCAGTCAAGCTCCCCGACCACCCAGTGGAAGACTCCATGACAGAATTTGATAGCCACTCTGCTGGCTCCTACTGTAAGTTACGGTCCATGATTCAACTTCATGGAGGTAATGACCAGGAGAAACTAGGTTTGGATCCTGTTAAGCTTGCTAAGCCCCAGGTGCAGCAGACGCAGCATCCAACATATGCTTACTCAGATGTGGACGCCTCAGCCAGCGACGAGCCACTGCAGGCTGACAGCATGTCCATGATCCGCTCATCTCTGGCTGCTTTGGACAATCACTGCAGTGACCCTCTGGGCAGTCGTGCCTCTTCCACTGCCTACAGGAACTCAGAGGGACAGTTTTTCTCCAGCATGACGCTCTGGGGGCTTGCAATGAAGACACTGCAGAATGAAAATGAGTTGGAGCAGTGACAGACATCACTGGCTTTGGACAACACTGTCATCACTTCTCAGCTTGGCGGGTTGGTGACCAGGCTGTGGGAGAACCATTTTCTGTGACTGGTCCCTTTTGCCAGCCAGAGAACGTTTAGGTAATTCTCCTCCTGGTAGTGGTTGGTCATCTGAAGCATCTTGAGCTGAGGGTTTAGGGAGAGAGGGCTCCTGGCTCCCTGCTGCAGCAGGTGCAGGAGCAGAGAAGCAAAGGCTTGAGACACTGTCTCACTAACTTCAGCTTCCAGGAGAAAGTGCACACCTGATATCAGCTGCCGAACATTGTGGTCATGTTAAAGGAAATATATATGTATAATACAAATGTTATTTTTGTATTTTTACAAGATTGAAATTTGTAGCATTTTGTATTTTTAAATATTTACACATATTTTATTTGCATATGAAACTCATACTATAATTTAACTTGAATAAATGAAACTTACTTTTGTATATAATATTGTGTTTCCTTCAGCATTTTTATTAATCTAAAGACCATGTGGTATAAAAATAAGTATAATCTAGGACTCACCCAGCAAGGCTAAGTATCCTTTCTTAGCCATCCTGGGACAGTGGGTGTCAGAGCACTGAGAACAGCCTGAGTCCAGGCTACCACTTACTGGTTAGGTCATGGGCAAGCTGCTCAAGCTCTCAGGGTCTTTCTACAGTATAAGCATCTTTCAGCATTCTTACAAGGTTCAAATGATCTGATCACCCATTTGCAAATTCCTGCCCTGGGTCTGGCCCTTGACAGAACTTGCTAAATGTTGATTTTGGTATATGGTGAGAGGTACAGATCTAGTTTCATTACTCTACATATGGATGTCTAGTTTTCCCAGCACCATTTATTAAAGAGGCAGTCTTTTCTGTGATGTATATTCTTGGTGCCTTTGTTGAAGATCAGTTGGCTGTAAGTATGTGAGTTGATTTCTGGATTCTCTATTCTGTTCCATTGGTCTTTTTATGGCAGTACCATGTTTTTTGGTTATTACTATAGCTTTGTATTATAATTTGAAGTCAGGTAGTGTAATGCTTCTGGCTTTAATTTTTTCTTGGTCAGGATTGTTTTAGCTGTTTGTGATCTTTTGTTTTTCCATGTGGATGTTAGGATTGTTTTTTCTATTTCTGTGAAGATTGTCATTGGTATTTTGATGTGGGTTGCATTGTATATGTCGATAGCTTTGGGTAGTATGGACATTTTCATGATGTTAACTCTTCCAGTCCAAGAGCATAGAATGTCTTTCCATGTTTTTGTGTCCTCTTTAATTCCTTTCAGCAGTGATTTGTAGTTCTCGTAGAGATCTTTCACATCCTTGGCTAAATTTGTTCGTAGGTTTTTTTGCTCGTTTGTTTGGTGACTATTATCAACGGGCTTGCCTTCTTGATTTTTCTGCTAGTTCATTGTTGCAATATAAAAACAGTTCTGATTTTTGTGTGTTGATTTTGTATCCTGAAACTTTACTGAAATCGTTTATCAGCTCTAAGAGTTTTTTATACAGTCTTTAGCTTTTTCTATATATAGTATCATGTCATCTGCAAACAGGGACAGTTTGACCTTGTCTTTTCCAATCTGGATGCCCTTTATTTCTTTCTCTTGCCTGATTGCTCTGGATAGTACTTCCATTATGTTAAACAGGAGTGGTGAGAGTGGGCATCCTTGTCTTGTTCTTAAGGGAAAAGCTGATGTTGGTGTTGGGCTTGTTATATGTAGCATTTATTGTGTTGAGATACTTTCCTTCTATACCTAATTTGCTGAGAGTCTTTATCATGAAGGGATGTTAAATTATGTCAAATGCTTTTTCTGCATCTATTGAAATAATTGTATGGTTTTTGTACTTGATTTTGTTGATGTGGTGTATCACATTTATTAACTTTTGTACATTGAACCATCCTTGCATCCTTGGGATGAATCCCACTTGATCATGGTGTATAATGTTTTTGATATGTTGCTGTATTGTGTGTGCTAATATTTTATTGAGGATTTTTGCATCCATGTTCATCAAAGGTATTAGCTGCAGTTTTCTTTTTTTGTTGTGTCTTTATCTGGTTCTGGTATCAGGATGATCCTGGCTTCATAGAATGAGTTTGGGAGAATGTCCTCTGTTTCAGTTTCTTGGAATAGTTTGAAGAGAATTGGTATTAATTCCTCTTCAAAGGTTTGGAAGAATTCAATAGTAAAGCCATCCAGTTCTGGGCTTTTCTTTGTTGGGAGACAATAAAAAGCAGATTACTGCTTCAGTCTTGTTTGTAATTGGTCTATTCGAGTTTTCTGTTTCTTCTTGGTTTAGTCTTGGTAGTTTGTGCGTGTCCAGAAATTTACCCATTTCCTCCAGTTTTCCAAATCTGTTGGCATATAGTTCATAATAGTCTCTAAAGATTCTTTGTATTTCTGTGATATTGATTGTAATGTCTTCTTTTCCATTTCTCATTTTTGTTATTTGGGTCTTCTCTCTTCTTAGTTAGCCTAGACAACTTAGTTAGCCTTGTCTAACTTAGTTAGTTAGACAAATGGTTTGTCTATTTTGTTTATCCTCTCAAAAAATTTTTTTTCATTGATCTTTTGTATCATTTGGGGGGTCTCTCTTTCATTTAGTTCTGCTCTGATCTTAATTTCTTTCTCTTAATTTTGGGATTGGATTGTTCTTGTCTTTCCAGTTCTTTTGAGGTATAGCATTAGGTTGTTTATTTGATATCTTTCCATTCTTTTGATGTAAGTATTTATTGTGATAAACTTCCCTCTTAGTGCTGCTTTTGCAGTATTCCACAGGTTTTGGTATGATGTGTCTTTATTTTCATCAGTTTCAAGAAATTTTAGGATTCCCTGTTTAATTTCTTCTTGGACCCATAGGCTGTTCAGGAGCATGTTGTTTAATTTCCATGTATTTGTATAGTTTCCAGAGTTTTGCTTGTTATTGATTTCTTGTTTTAATTTGTTGTGATCTGAAAAGATACTTGTAATGGTTTTGGTTTTTTTAGTTTGTTGAGACTTGACTTGTGACCTAATGTGATCTGTCCTGGAGAATGTATATTCTGTAGTTGTTGGATGATATGTTCTGAAGAGGGCCGACCCCGTGGCTCACTCAGGAGAGTGTGGTGCTAGGAGCGCAGTGGCGCTCCCACCGCGGGTTTGGATCCTATATTGGGATGGCCAGTGCACTCACTGGCTGACCGCGGTACGGGCGACACCAAGCCAAGGGTTATGATCCCCTTACCAGTCACAAAAAAAAAAAAAGAAAAAGAAAAGAAATGTTCTGAAGATATCTGCAAGTCCAATCGGTCTAAAGTATAGTTTAATTCCTGTATTTCTCTGTTGTTTGTTGCCTAGATGATCTGTTCAGTGCTGAGAGAGGGGTGTTCAGGTCCCCAACTATTATCACATTGGGGTCTATCTCTTTCTTTAGGTCTAATAATGTTTGCTTTATATATCTGGGTGCTTCAATGTTTATGCATATATATTTATGATTGTTATGTCTTCTTATTGGATAGATCCCTTTATTATTATATAATGGCCTTCTTTGTTTCTTTTTATGTTTTTTGGTTTAAAGTCTATTTTAGCCGATATAAGAACAGCTATTCTTCTCAGTTTTGATTTCCATTTGTGTGGTATATCTTTTTCCATCCCTTTGCTATTAGTCTGTGTGTGTCTTTACAGGTGAGGTGAGTCTCTTGTAGACACCATATAGTTGGGTATAGCTTTTTAATCCAATCAGTCAGTCTGAGTGGGGAATTTAACCCATTTACATTTAGGGTTGTTATTGAAAGGTATTATCTCACTCCTGGCATTTTATCAATTTTCATTAGAATGTTTTAAGTATCTTTTGTTCCTTTCTTCCCTTTTTATTGTTTGTCTTCAGTGTTGGTTGGTTTTTTGAGATGATAAGGTATAGATATAATGCCCTAGGCACTGGGGCACTTAGTGATTCTTTGCTGAGGTTAATGACACTGTGTTGGGTCATCGAGGATGTGGGTGAGCTCTTGAGTTCTTGGGAGAAGCACCTGGGCCCCATAGCTCTTTGTCTGGGATGGGTGACCCTGGGCAGAGTTGTTGATACCCTGGCTAGCATCCCATGACCCTGATGGGTGCACTGGGGTATACTGGAGCTCCTCAGTTTGAATGGATGACCCCAGATAGGGTTTCTCTTTCCTCTTTTCTACCGGCTGTGTACACACCTCCCACCCCCAGGCATACCACAGGGAGGCAGCATAATTCCTCCTGTGCATTGGGCCACTGGGTCGCAGGCCTCTGCTCACTTACCTCCACTGGTGAACCTCCTTGTGTCAATGCAGTCAAGTAGTCGGCAGGTCACCTACATGGGAGCAGTGGCTGCTGCTGTGGCAGTGGGCTGCCCTTATGGCAGCAGTGGTGGCTGTGGCAGTGGCTTGACCACCCACATGGCTGAATTATCTGCAGGTGTGGTGTGCTGCTCACACAATGGCACCCTGTGCTCTTGCCCTCTGTTGGCCAGGGCTGCCCTCAGCTCCTGAGGTCCCTGCACTCCTGCTGGCTGTCAGCAGGGGCTGCCCTTCGTTCCGAGGTCCCCATGCTCCTCCCACTGCCTCATCAGCCCCTCCTCATCCTGGCTCCAGCAGCTCCTCAGTCCCCAGGACCTACATCTTGTCCGTGTATCCTCAGGCAGGCCACACCACACAGTCCACTGCCAGCCCCTTTATCACACTTACCTGGTAAATGGCCAGCCCTTGCTCAATCCCTGCCTGCCCTCTATCTCCACATGGGTGTGAACTGGGCTGTCGAGAAACAACCCTTCTCTGGTGTCGGCGATTACTAACTCCCACCAAGCCCTTATCCTCCTCACCTAGACCATGTGCTGTCCTAGACAGCTGTGTCATAGGGCATTTTCTCAAGCTTCTGCGCCTTGCCCCATCATCCTGCTCAGTCTTGCTTCCTAGCTCTCTGAGAACATAGCCCCAAATGGGAAGGAACCTGCCTCAAGCCCCCACCACACTGCCAGCCTCCCTGTACCTGTGCCTGTAGATTCTGCCCCCTCACATTGCCTGCCCCTGCTCTGTCTGTCTCACTAGGACTTACCACTCTCAACCTACTGTGAATTTATTTGCTTCCCGCATTAGGATATAAGCTCCCAGATTTTTTTCTCTTGTTCCCTCCTGCATCCCCAGTGCCCAGAAGAGAACCTGGCACTTAGTAAATGCTCGGTAAATAATTGCCAAAAGAATGTGTTTGGAATACCTTTTAGTCAAAATATCAGATCTCCTAGATTGATCCACTAATTTTCTTTTCTCTTGAACCCTGTTCAAGAGTCAGACTTTTGCCCCATTACTCCACTGAAACACTTTTTGTCCATCAAAGACTCTGCCATTGCCAAATCCAGTGATCAATTCTCAGCCCCCGTCTTTGTTGGCTGTTAGGCAGTACTTGACACTTCAGCAGTGAGTTGATGTCTTCTTCCTCCTCGACACAAGAACCAAGAGGACCCCTCCC